TTTTTTTTTTTAAATTGGGAAAATAAAAATAAGCTTATTTGTCCCAACCCCTCCCGCATTACTGAGACATCAGTGTTCAGCTAAGTGGGACTGCCTTGCTTGCCGTTAGCAACGCCAGGCTGCTCTTCAGCAGGTAGTGAATGGCCTGACTGTGCAGGAGCCCCTCCCCACTCTAGAATCCACTGCTAGCTGGTACTGGAATGCCATCCTCCACAGACTGCTTTCACCACCTGTTTTCCAGTTTCTCACCCGACTTTAGATGCCGCCTGTCCCCACAGTACCCAGTCCTTCTAATTCTCTGACTAGAAATCCTGACTCATACTATCAACCTTTATGCTTCCTTCTGGATCATTATTTATTTCCTTAACAGACCATGGTTTTTGCAATCACTTGTTATGCATCAGAGAGTTGGACAATGACTAGGGAGGATAGAAGGAGAATTGATGCCTTTGAGCTGTGGTGCTGGAGAAGAGTATTGAATGCACCCTGGGCTGCCAAGAAAACAAACAGATTCACCCTGGAGAGGGTTAAACCAAGCTACTCCTTGGAGGCAAGGATTCTGGGGCTTTGTCTGACATACTTTGGACATGTTGCAAGGAGGGTCTAGTCCTTGGAGAGGGACATCATGGTTGGGAGGGTGGAGGGACAGTGCAGGAGAGGAAGGCCCTCTATGAGGTGGATTGATTCAGTGACTGCGGTAATCGGGGTGGGTGTATCAGAGACGGTGCGATTGGCCAGGATAGAGCAGGGTTTATGGCTGTTGTATGTGGGGTCGCTATGAGTTGCAAGCGATGCTATGGCACATAACAACAGCAGCACTTAGCACAGTGCCTTGTACATAGTGAGCAGTGTTTTACATTCTTTACTGCTTTTGGCCTGTTTGATAGTCAGGTGGAGTTGTTGTTAGATCTGTCCTCGACCCCTGTGACTCATCGTGACCCTCTAAACAATGCCCCACCCTCATGATCCCATCATGCTGAGGCCCGTAGTTGTAGTTGCTGCCTCAGTCTGTCTCTCCTGGAGGATCTTCCTGTCTTTCTCTGACCCTTCACCTTTACCAGCATGATGTCTGATTCCATGGACTGGCCGTTACTGAGAACATGTCCAAAATGGGTGAGACAAAGTTGTACCATTCTTAACCTCTAAGGAGTCCCCTGGCTGCCCTTGTTCCAAGATAGATTTGTTTATTTCAGCCCGTGAGATGTTCAGTACTTTGCTTCAGTGCCACAATTTTATTTTTTTTTAATTTTTATTATATTATTTTTTATGTGTACTGTCAAATCAGATCTGGCTGATACAGGAGTAGATTGCCCCCTCCTTCTCCAGCAGAGCATCTGGTGGATTTGAACTGCATACCTCTGGGATTGCAGTGCAGCGTCTTGCCACTAGGCCACCAGATCTCTCTTTCAATGCCACAGTTTAAAGGTATCAGTTCTTCTGGCTTCCTTAGTCATTGTACAACTTTCAGGGGCAGAGGAAGCAATTGAAAATACCATGACTTGGATCAGGTGTAACTTTTTTCTTTAAACTAACATCTTTGCTCTTTAGCATTTTGGAGAAGTCCTTGACAGTATATTTTCCCAATGCAACACAGCTCTTTGATTTCATGACTGCTACTACCATGGGTGTTGATTGTGGATCCGAGCTGATTGGAATCATTGACCGCTCTATTCTTTCCTCTCACTCTCACGATTGGTGCCTATTGGTCCACTGGTGAGGATTTTTGTCTTTTTGGTGTCGAGTTGTCGTCTGTATTGAAGGCTGTTGTCTTTGCTCTTCTGCACCAAGTGCTTCAAGTCCTCTTCCCTTTCATCAAGCTACGGTATTATTATTAATTTTACTTTAAAGAAGAGAAATTGAAGCACAGAGTATTTAACGCACTTGCCTATGTTCACATAGCTAGAGCTGGGATATGCGTCCAGGCTGTCCTGTACTGGGGCTCAAGTCTGTGCTACTGACTACAGTGCCATCCTGCCTGTGTCTCCACAGGGATTATCTAATGCCCAATTAACAGAGTCCTGCCCCGTTAGGTCCAACAGTTCTGCTGAGAGAAGGGACGAGGATTAAATGAAGACGCAGAGAGGCGACCGCTGATGGCGAATTGCAATATTTCATTTTTCAGACATAGCCTATATAGGTTTTAGAAGCACATCTGCTCTAACAATCGCATTATCTCTTTCCATCCCAAGATGTTGACTGTCTGGTCAAACATTAACTCTCACAGACCTCGGCACAATACAAAGATGTTTTCCAGAATACCTTATTGTGTGTTCTAAGGAATAAATGGTTTCGGTTGATTAAGACACTACATTCCTGAAGGTTTAAGACATTTGGTCATTCTTATTCATTAACATCCTACTTCTTTGAGTTGTTTATTGCCAAGCAGATACTCTAGCCAAGATGGAGTTAGTCTTGCTGGTCTTGCTTTACAAGTTAGCCATACCCTGACACCCTATTTAATTTTAGATACCTTAATATGTTTTTGTCTGAACTGTGGAACCTATGTGAAATTTCCTTTCTTCTTCTTACAGCTAAATTAGGCGGAATTCGTCCAGGGGCGGGGAGGAAGGGATGGAAACGAAACATTGCCTGTTTTCTTTTTCCTCTTAGCCAAGTACATGTACCTCTGATAACAATAAGGAATATTTTATTTGTCTGGAAAGTTCTATAAAATTTGCCCTCCATCCCCAGTTTGATATGGCCCCCCTAAGTGTGAAGAAGGGAGCCCTGGTGGCTTCGTGGTACGGACTTGTGCTGCCAATCTAAAGGCACGCAATTTGAATCTACCAGCTGCTTTGAGCAAGAAAGATGGGCAGTTTCAACCCATACATTTTGTAGCCTCTAAAAACCTGCAGGAGGGTCAATTGTGAGATGTTTCCTACTCAGTGGTACATAACAAGAAGAAGATAATTCAGTTAAGAAGTTTTGTGGCATTGAACCACTGGGTGTATGGCATTCACTAGATGTGTTAATAGAAAGGGCTTGAGGGCCGTGAACCACAAATTATCTTGAACAGAGTTTAGAACTTTCAGCTCTGTCTGAATGGAGAATGCCAATCTCATATCTTATAGACTGAAGGAATAACTTTAGTCACTTTGTATCCATTAGGAAAAAAATATGGTGAGAAATTTTACTTTAACAATGAAAATGCTTAACATAGTCAAAGTTTTGTTCACTAATCTTTTACTGAATGGATGAAACCAGAGTCTAAGCTGAGCATGATGAATGTTTTACTTTCTCTGATCAAATTTGCATTCAAAGAGTTGTTCTAAGAAACAATCCTCCTATAAAAATTCCAGTATGTTGTTAAAGTGGGTTTTGTATTATCTTATTTTCTATCACATATCAGTTTGTTAGCTAATCCTTTGTCATGTAAATTAAAAATGTGTTTCCTAGGTATTGCTTGTCTTAAAAATATATCTGGCTGAATAATTGCCTGTCACAATGTAATCTACAAAGCTGGAGTGTTTTTTTAGCTTTAAAGGCAAGACCAGATTTTATTCCCCTCGGGGTGCTATAGGAGAATAGCAAAGAGTAAATGTTATCTGTGCATTTAGCGTCACCTGTTTAAGGGTGTGCTGCTGCTCTACAGGATGTGACGGTCATTGTAGCACAATAACAATACGCTTTTTAGTTGTATCATCAATGTCAGTAAAATAAACTCACCATTATATTAGCTGAGTTGTGCAAACAGATTTACTTCTCATGTACATTCCGATACCTGCCTAAAAGTCAGTCCGTATTTGTTCAGTCAGACATAAAGCACATTATGAGGAAGGGAAGGAAAAGCATTAAGAATAGGGCCTTTGGTCTAGGGCTCCTACAGAGCCCAAGAAGATTGCTTGCCTTTGTATTTGTATATGCATATTTTGTTATTTGTATTTATGTGTGTGTGTGTATAAAACACGTATATACATGTATGTGTATATTTTTTTGTTTTTGCTCATCTCTGGTAAACTCTGATTTCACTGAGAGGTTCCTGACAAGGACAGCATTTTCCCATTGTACATGGGCAGCTCTTTAAGTTCTTCTCTATCTGTGTTTGTATATTGGAGAATTAAGTACTTTAGGAAATCACCTTCATACTCAGTAATCAGTCATTTCAACAATACTTTTTCTCTCAATTTCCCAAAGAGAATGACTTTTGAGATGACAGATTTAAAGTAGTAGTTGTCAGTGTTTTCCTCTCTAGCTGTCTTTTTACTCCTGATTTGACACTTGCTATGTCTGAAGAAATGATGAAACTTTTTTTAAGGACCTCGACAAAGTTTGTTTTTATTAATGCCTACGGTGATTACTATAAGCTTACTAATTTTTTTCCATTCAAACAACAAATTGATAGAGGAGCAAGAGGCAAATGGGTGATCTTGTTAGGATTTGGTGTTCTCGTGAAGGTTTGGTTCAATTTTCTTGTTTAATGTTACGAGGCTTTTTGAAAATGTGGTGAGGAGCTGTGTTGTCATCCTAAAGGCACATGGTTCGAATCCTCCGGCTGCTCTTTGGGAGAAAGATGGGCAGTCTCCTCCCGTGCAGTGAGTGAACTACCTTTGAAAACCCTCTGGAGGGTCAGCTGTGGGTCAGTTCTCACTTGATGGTCCACAGCAATCACTTCCAGTGATTTGCGAATATTTAGATGACACCCCCCC